TATTGGACTCTCGTTGAATCAGAAGATTAATATGGAGAGAATTGTCTTCATGACATTGAGGCTTCTCATCTCTAAATTTAAAACATCTCTCCAAAAAATAAAAATAAAAAAAATAAAACATCTCCCCACTTATTCCTTTTATAGCCTATAGTTTTTATAGTTTTACAGCCTATTGTTTTTCTTCATAAATATCTGTGAATTTTTTCAAGGTTCAGTACAATTTTAATTTTATTTTTAATGATTTATTTTTAAAAATATATTACAGTTTCTAATAACTTATTGTTGGTGTATAGAAACACTATTGGATTTCCTATTTTATTTGTATTGGATATTAATTTTTGTCCAGCAACCTTGCTGATCTAAATAACCCTAATAACATGCCTGCAGAATCTCTTGGATTTTCTCTGTAAATAATCATACCATCTGCAAAAAATGTCAGAGATTTTGTTTCTTTTATTTTCCTAATCCTTCTATCACTGAGCGGTAGCTTCTAAATCCAACTTCTCTCAGCTCTCAGGCAGTGCCAGTGGGCTGGCCCTGGGCGGCTATAGTCTTGCCCCTTCAGCTATAAATAAATAAAAGACCCCTGACTTTCTCCAGAGCTTTACAGTTTACAAAGCACTTTCGCTTTCATTGTCTCATTGATCCTGATTACTCCCCGCGTTACCCAGAGGGAGCATGTGGCTCCCAGTCCGGAGACTTGGCTGGGCCCCGAATACTGGGCTGTGAGACCTCTGACAGTCCCTCCCCTTCTCTGTTTCGCCTGTAAGCTAAAAAGTTTGGCCAGGGCTGGGTCTCTGGTATTCTCAGATCCATGATTGATGATTGCTCTGGGCGGTCACAAGGCTCAAGGAAGCTCTTTGAAGACCAACGATAAAAATAATAAAAGGGGGTGGAGGATTCTGGTACACTTAGGTCCTCAGCACCTCCACTGGCGCCCCCAAACATCTAGGGGAGTGGGGAAATATGGACGTGCCCTTGCAAGTCGGAGGGTTGATACAAATGATGGGGACCGTGGGGAAGAGGGCATTGTGTCCAGCCCCCCGCCTGCAGGCGCATTCTCCTCCCCGCCTGAAAGAACATCCTCTGGACCCGGAAGGGGAGGACGAGGTAAGGCTTGAGGCCGTGGGCCTCCTCCTGCGTCGCCCCCTCTAGCTGCAGAGCTCAGCAAACACTTCTGACGCGCATCCCCAACCGGGGCGGAGCGCTCCCTCCCCTGCACCCGACCCCTCCCACCCCCGGCCCTGTCCTCGCTCTGCCCCAGTACTGCGCAGGCGCAGGTCCAGGAGGCTGCCGCGAACGCGCCCTCTCGTGGCGGACTGACAGATCGCATCCTTTGTTGTGGTGCTGGGGGCGGCAGAGAGGAGGGGGGAAGATGTGGGTGGAGTCTGGGAGGCAGATGCGACAATCAGATCACAATGATGAGAATCCCTTTCCTTTGTCCCTCATGACAACATATAATCCCCCCGTTGTAGGTGCAGATGAAGAAAATATGGCCCTCAGAAATCAGGAGGCTCATATAGACAGAAGTGGAAGGAACGAGTTGGGGAGATGATGCATTCATTCATTCAATCAATCATTCATTCATTCAGCAAATATTCACTGAAATGGGGACAGCCAGAGACAAAGGACAGAGGAATTAAATGGAGACACTGATAGGGGGAGATCCGGCAGAAATATCCTCATATTTCGACGAGTGTGGAGATGCAGAGGCCTGAGCCACCTATCCCCCCAGAGGGATGCTCCAGCTGGTGAGAGCCACATGGGAGCTCAAGAAGGGACTACTCGAGGGCCAGAAGGGACACTAGTCACAATGGACTGAAGCAATCGAATATGTTTAAAGCCATCAATTCTTAATTATGCTACTGTTTTTAAAAAACTAACTGGCCCAAGTTTGAAAGGTGCTAGAGAATCAACTCATTATTTCAAAATTCGCAAATGCAGGAACAGAATTGAGTATTTATCCCATCTTTGCTATATGAGCCACCACACTCAGTAACCAAATAGTAAATGAGGGGCAGTTTCTGTGTCGAGAATTATTCCAGCTAATAAAGGAAGGAGTGATTGAATGTGGGTATCACCATTGGGGGCGGGGAGGGAGGGAGACTGGTGGATGAGGCACGAAGCATCCATGGTTGCTATGCTTCTGGATGGAAGAAGCAGTACCACCATCTGTGAAGTGGTCTTGCCAAAGAAAATAGAACCTACACCTGATTAGGACTTTCAATCCAACTAGCATTTACAGGAAATAACAATGTACAGGAAATACAATTTACAGGAAGTACAGAGGGTCAGAGAGACTTGTTAAAGAACACCCTAGACATGCAATCAGCGAAACCCAGACTGGAAGACTGCACACCAAATAGCCTGCTTCTCTCAAGGAAAGAGACAGAGAGAAAGAGAGAGGTTTTAATGGGGGAATCTATGGATTTAAAGAGATTTAAAGGAGACATATCCATCAGTTGCAGGGTGTGCACCTTATTTGGATCCTGATTCAAACAAATATATTGTAAAAAACAAAAAACAAAAAAACCAAACACATTTATAAGAAATTGGAAATCTGAACACTATAGGTCTGATATTAAGGAATTATTAACTTTAAGGTCTGCTAATGTACTGGTTGTAATAACTGTGATTGTTTAAAAATGAGTCATTCTATTAAAAAATAGTAAATTAGAAGAGTCATCGTCTTTCAAAGTTACATGCTAAAATATTGACAGAAGAAATTATATAGGAGGGAAACTTGGGTGGGTACAGGTGAAGGAGATTTGCCACGAGTTGCTGACTGTTGAAGTTGGGTGATGGATATATAGGGGTTCATTCTTTTATTCTGCAGACTTTTGTTTAAAATTTGCAAACTAAGGGGCACCTGGGTGGTTCAGCCAGTTAAGTGGCTAACTCTGGATCTCAGCTCCAGTCTTGATCTCAGGGTTGTGAGTTTTTAAAAAATAATAAAATAAAATACTTTGCAAACTAAGAAGTTCAAGGGCCCTGTGACCCCACTCTCTACCTGTCAGGCCCCAACAAACAGAGATACTGAGCAGTCTAGCAGCAGCTTGCAGTCCAGATAGCTCTGAGGTGCAGAGATCCTCTCGTGGGCCATAGGGGACTTCCAGGGGACTTCCAACTGGCTCTTGGCACAGTCCCTGGTTCCCTTGGTTTGGGGGAGGAGAAGGATCTGTAAGGAAATGTGTCTATAGGCCCTGTGGCACTGGATACTGCTACCTCAAGACAGCTGAGGATATGAGTAGGTGGCTCAAATAAAATAGCAGGGCAGTCACACGGAGTCACATGAAGCTACTGAGGTGCTGAGGCCTGGGCAACTGGCCAGACTGTCAGCTCTGCTTGCTCCCCCAGAGCCCTCTGACTCTCCTTCTGCCTCCAGAACCTTTCTTCCTCATACCCTCCATTTCTGAGAAGGCAGAGAGACGCCAAGGTGACTCTGGGACGAGCCTGAGAGCCTAAGTGGACGCTGACTCTGGAATTTGGTGGCTCTCCAGGGATGGATGGGATGGTCAGGTGGTGGGAGAGAGAAAGAAAGATGAGGACTCAGTAACCTGCCCACGGGTCATTCTGGCTGACAGGCCAACAGCCTGCCCCTCAGGCTCCACCACAGCTGTTCCCGGGGGTCCTTGCTTGGGGTGCTGAGCATGGTGGGGAAGTAGTAAGGCCCAGGAGGGAGGCTCACGCACACACCAGGAATTTTGGAACCCTGGCACCCTTGAGTCCCAGCCTCCTTCTCAGGACGTCTAGGGAGAGTCCTCTCTGCCTGCTCTGAGTGAGAAGCCCCCAAAGAGAAGTGCATCCCTCCCCTTTGGGGTCAGCTGTCCCTACCTACCAGTGTGCAGGCTCCACAGGCCCAGCTTTCTGCCCCTCCCTGCCTCCTGCCCCACACTGCGCAGGCTCTGTAAATATGCGCAGAGTTCATGATGTTGTGGCTTCGTCACAAGGACTCACAAGGACATGAGAGGTGAGCACTATCTCTGCCACGTTGTAGTTGTAGGAACAGAGCCTAGAGAGGACAGCTGAGCTCTTCAAGGCCAACGTCTCCAGGGAGGGGTCAAGGTGGGAATTGCATCCAAGCTGGCAGGCCTCCAAGCCTGTGCCACCTCTTTTGCTCCCCTGTCTGCCTGGCTCATCCTGTCCAGGGCTGTCTCTCTTCCCAGACCTGGTGTACATGCCGAGTGTGATTGGTCTGGGGATGACAGCTGGGGAGGTGGGCAGCCAGCTGTTCTGTGTGCAGTTAAGGAGGCTGTCACTTAGTCCCCCCTACACCTGCTAGTTGCCAGGACCGGTGCCAGGTCCGGGATGCAAGGATAATAAGGTTCCAGTCCACCCCACAGTGCTGTGCACTGTGGGACCCGGGGGGAGCCCAGCTCAGCCTAGTGGAGGAAGCCAGAGCAAAAAGGCTTCAGAGAGGAGAGGAGGCCTCTCTTCAGGCTTGCTAGGCAAGTGGCGGTTTGCTGGTCCCACGAGGGCAGGAAGGGAACTCCAAGCAGAGGGAAGGGCTTGTGCAAAAGACTGAGAGCATGGCAGCTAGGGGGCTGCAGAGAGAGGCTGGGCAGGAGCCTGGGATGGGGTGTGTGTGTGTGTGTGTGTGTGTGTGTGTGTGTGGTTGGTTGGTTGGCAAGGGTGACAGGAGGGGAGGCTGGACAGGATGGCCAGGTACGGGCAGGGTCTGAAAGCCACCAACAGCTGGGGACTTAGGGCAATAGGAGCCCTTAATGTTTTCAGGGCTGACTTGGGGAGTCAGGTTGGTGGTTTAGAAAATGTTCTCTGGCCACTGCAGTGAAGGGGGGATCATTGGAGGGACCCTGTCATGTGAGGGGAGTGTCCACTCCAGATTCAGTGCCTGCTCTGGGGGGGAAGGGGAGGGACCCACTGGCAGAAGCTGGGGCCAGCTGCTCTGGGACACCTCCCTCTCCTCGTCCCTCCCTTGTCCCCTCCCTCGTCCCCTCCCACTCTGCCTCCCTCCCTCCTCCCCCCCTGCTCCTGTCTCTGTCACTCTCAGGGCCTGGGCAGGCTGGGGCAGCCATGGCAGCAGCACTAATCTGGATTCTTCTCCTTGTGGGCAAGTTGGGGCCTTCTTCTGGGATAGGCCCAGGACAAAGGGATGGGATTTAGGGGTGAAGAGGTGGAAATACAGAGGCCCCTCAGGGGAGGGGTCTGGGGCAGGGGCCAGAGGACTTTGGGGTGTTCATGCTGTGTCCAGCGGGAGGCCCAGGGAAATGAGGCTGGACGTGGGGCTCTGGTATGTGGGGGCCTGGGAGCTCTGACTGATGGGGTGTCTGAGGCCAAGGTGGGCCTGATGGCACAGGCCCGGAGTGTCGTTGGCCCTTTAATGGGCTGGCTGGTCTGCCTCCTTTCTAGGCTCAGGCTAAATTTGGCCTTGGGAGGGTGTGGGGGCCCGTTGGGGCAGGTCCTTCTCCTGGGGCTTAGGATCCCATTTGCTTAGCTTTTATTGGCTTCTCTTGTGGGCCCCTTTCCTGCTGTGTATTAGGGGAATTGGAAGGGGTCCTCGAATGGCTACCCACCTTCCTCAAAAGTTTGTTCCGTGCCCCCCTCCCCTCCAGCCTCCCAGACACTCAGCATTCTTTTTTAAAATTTGTATTTATTATTTTTTTTTGAGAGAGAGAGGGTGACCAAGCATGCACAGGGAGGGAAGGTGGTGGGAGGGGTAGAGGGAGATGGAGAGAGAATCTTAAGCAGCCTCTAGCCTAGAGTGACAGAGCCCATCATGGGACTTCATCTTGAGACCCTCATCAGACCATGACCTGAACTGAAATCAAGAGTCGGATGCCTCACCCCCTGAGCCACCCAGGCACCCCTGACACAGTATTCTTTAGGGATTTTTTGCAAGTACCCTTAACATGCATACACACCCCCACACCCCACACACCCCCTAGCCAGATAGCAGTCCCTGCCTGGTGTGACCCCTTAAAGGGAGCTTAAAATGAGGACTGAGGGAGGCGGCTCCCATGAATTCAAACCAAAAAAGGTCAAGTCCTGTCACTGATCCAAGTGGGTGGCACAGCCAGGGCACCCCCTGTCCTTTCCTGGAGGCCTCCCACCACTTCTCCTGTCTCTTAGGGGCACCAGGAACTTATCCCTTCCCTGCCCAGGACTAAGGCTGATGCGTGGGTTTGGGGGTTGTGGGGTCCCCACAGGTCTCTTGGCAGGGCGAGGGGACACCGAGGCCCAGCAGACCACCCTGCAGCCTCTTGTGGGCCGTGTCTTTGTGCACACCTTGGACCGGGAAACCTTCCTGCATCTTCCTGAGCATGTTGGTGAGAGGGGTCTGAAGGGCATCGAGTGGGCTGATGGTACCTGGCCGGGGGCTAATGAAGCCTCCTCTCACTTCTCCAACCCTCTTTCCTTCTACCAGATGTCCCCTCCACTGTCCCAATCACCTACCACGCCCACCTCCAAGGATACCCAGACCTGCCTCGGTGGCTCCGCTACACCCAGCGCAGCTCCCACCAGCCTGGCTTCCTCTATGGCACCCCCACTCCAGAAGATCGTGGGCGCCAGGTCATTGAGGTACCAGCAGGGACCCCAGTGGCTCTGTCCCATGTGGGCATCTGCGCCTGTCTATTTACATAATTTAGATGCCTCTAATTTGTGGGTATCTCAGTCCCCTCTTTGTTTCTCCCCTCAACCCATCCCTCCACCCTCTTCCCTCTACCCCATCAGGTCACAGCTTACAATCGGAACAGCTTTGACACCACCCGGCAGAGGCTGGTGCTGTTGATTGGGGACCCAGAAGGTACTACTAGCCCCACCGCACCACCGCCCCACCTCTACCCCCTCAATGCCCTTCCTGGGGGATTTCCCTTGGAAGGAGGGAAGGGGTGTGTGTGAAGGGGACACTCGCAAGTGGGAATAGCGGGAGCAAGGCATCCTGGAAAGGCTTGAGCTGTATTCTTGGCTGTCGTGCTGACAGTCTGTGGGGCCTTGGGAAGTGGTTGAGGCTGTGGGCAGGGCACTTGGGGCCTGTGAGGGATGGGAAGTTAGGGAGGAAGGAAAGAGTCTGATGGGGCGTAGGGAGGAGTTCAAATGGGGCGAGTCTTGGGAAGGATCCGTGCAGTACTCCGTGCAGCCTCAAGTGCCAGCCTGGCATTTCCAGGCCCCCTGCTGCCATACCAAGCTGAGTTCCTGGTGTGCAGCCATGATGTGGAGGAGGTGCTGCCCTCAGTGCCTGCCAGTCGCTTCCTCACATCCTTGGGAGGGCTCTGGGAGCCAGGGGAGCTCCAGCTACTCAACATTACCTCTGCCTTGGACCGTGGCGGCCGCGTCCCCCTTCCCATTGAGGGTCGCAAGGAAGGGTAAGTGTGTGACCAGGAGGGCTTTCTGGAGGAGGTGGTGGCAGCTGGCCTTCCAGGTGGTGGGGCATGGAGCACCTTCGTGCACCTTCACACCCAAATGTATCTCCCAGTGTCACATCACTGTCCACTTTCCTCCAGCCACCCCTTCATCTTTTTGCCCTTCCTGGGCCCAAACCGTAATTACCCTAAACTCTATACTCCCTGATATCCCATGAGGACATAAAAGATCCAGCCATCAAAAGACATTCCTGGGAGTGTTAGGCCTCCTAGAAGACTGGGGTGCTCTGTGTACTCTCATCATAACCCAGGTCTCAGAAGTGGCCCTGTAACCCCAAATCTCCAGTGCCCAATGGCACCCCCCTCCCAGTATGCTAACTGTGGCTTCTATCTGGGCCCAGGGTTTACATCAAGGTGGGATCTGCTTCACCCTTCTCCACCTGCTTGAAGATGGTGGCATCTCCTGACAGCCACGCTCGCTGTGCCCAGGGTCAGCCTCCACTTCTGTCCTGCTATGACACCTTGGCACCTTACTTCCGTGTTGACTGGTGCAATGTGACCCTGGTGAGGAGGGATCCTGGTTCCGGGGGTGGGGAGAGGGCATCGCAATCTCCTCCGTACCCCTCTTCCCACTCCATCTCTATTCCTGTTTCTTTCTGATTACACACACACACACACACACGCGCACACACACACACACACACACACACACACACAAGCACGCACACTGAATTTCCATCTCATCCCATAAGGGGGCGACAGAGTCCATAATCCAGAAAAGGGCTCTCCAGGTCCAGAAGTGGCAGGTGGGCCCAACCCAGCAGCTAGAACCATCACTTCCATAGGGCAGTTCCAAAAATCCTTTTCCCACCACGGGACACTCTGGGGCAGTTCTGTCTGCTTCCTTCTAAGGTGTCACCTAGCAAATCTGCCTGCGACAAGGAAAAGATAGCTCTCACTCCCAAGTTATAAACCAGAGATGCTCACTACTGCTTTTTGGGATATTGAGCACAATTATCTGAGGATCTGGGGTCCTTAGAGACCCTGACTCCCCAGTCTGGGAACCCCTAGAGTCCTCTGTTCAACTCAATCAACAACATCTTTGAGCACTTGCCGTGGGCGAGGCACTATCCAATCAACATGTTTTACCCTCACCACTGCTCCAGAGACAGGTACCACTATTACCATTGACTTTACAGGTGAGGGAGAGGAGTCACCTGGAGGTAAGTCATCCAGCACAGCACCTGCCTGAATCAGGATTCAAACTTACACAGTAGGGCCTTAGAGGTGTGCTCTAACCATTGTACAGACCTGCCTCTCCTCGACCTTCTCTCTGGGGTCCTAGTCCAGTGCTTGTCCTCCTAACTCGCTCAAGCTGGGGGAGGCAGGCAGAAGGAAACCCTGTGGTTGTATGGGGCACCCCTGCCCTGTCCCCCGGGGGTCTCTGTGTCCAGCCAACTGCTCCTAGGTTAGCCCTGGGCTCTCTGAGCAGGTGGATAAGTCAGTGCCAGAGCCTGCGGATGAGATGCCTACCCTAGGCGATGGGATCCTGGAGATTGACCCGTTCTTCTGCCCACCTACTGAGGCCACAGCCCGAGACTTCCTCACTGATGCACTGGTCACCCTCCTGGTGCCACTGCTGGTGGCTCTGCTTCTCACTCTGCTGCTGGCCTACATCATGTGCTGCCGGCGAGAGGGACAGTGAGTATGGGGGACAGAGGGTGGGGAGGGTACTGTGGCTGGTGCTCACATCCATGGGACTCCTTGTGGCACTTGTGCTCCCTGGGGACACAGACCCCCTCAGGGAGCGGAGTCCTTGGCCAGGAAAGAAATGGGGACCTCTTGTCTGGCCTGGAACCAGGAGGGGGTTGCGGATAATAACTATTACCCTCCCTCACTTTTCCACAGGCTGAAGAGAGACCTGGCCACCTCTGAGTGAGTAGGGGAAAGCTGGGGGCTGGGTGGGAGCACCCCTAGACTCCATGAGCAGTGCAGACAAGCACAGATTACTCTGGGATGATGGGAGCCATGCCTGGCCTCTGAGCTCCAGCTCTGGGCTGGCTGATTGCGGCGCCTGACCTATCCTGGCCTGGCCTTCTCATTTTCTGGTCTTAGAGGACCCTAATCTGGGATGGGGCATGGGAAAGGACCCAGCCGGGTGTAGGGGTCTGCTGCCACCCTAAGGGGGAGAGGGTTTAAGAAGCAACTTGAGGCTGCATGCCCACACACATGCACAACATGTGCACACACGCACACACATACACGTCACTGAGTAAGACACTATGTATGGTTCCAGGCTGGGTTATGCCACACAATCAGTGGGACGCTCTCTGGCCCTGGTTTCTCCATGTGATGTCATATGCTTTCAATTCCTCCAGCCCTGGCCAAATTCATCTTACTCTTTTGCTCAGGTTTCCACACCCTCCCCACCAACCCGGCTTTACCTTTCCCCTGTCCCAAGCCTCCTTCCACTCCCCTTCCCTTGAACCCCAAAGATTCCAGGAGGCAGGTATGAGATAAGTTAGGCTCCTTTTATTCTCACTGCACTGAGCCTGTGGCGGGCCTGGCACCCTGCCTCCTCCTTGCCTGGCCTGCCCTGTTAATTGCGGCGGCATTTGGCCACCCTGCGAACCCTCTTGTGTAGTCGCTTGTGCCCCCTTTGGGAGCCTGCTAGCAACCTGCGCTGCCCAGGCCGGCGATGCCCAGGCCGGTGCTGCCCAGGCCAGCGCTGCCCAGACCGGCGCTGCTCAGACCGGTGCTGTCTCTGGGTCCTGAACTTGAACTTGGAGGCAAACTTCTTGCTCATGCGGAAGGAGCCCGAGGCCCCCTTGCCAGTCACCTGCTTGAGAATGCCCTTGTCCACTAGCCCCTTGAGCACTCGCTTGAAGCGCCAAGCATTCCGGGTCATGTTGTAGCCCGTGGTGGCGACCGCCTTCTTCAGGGTGGCTAGAGTCACAGGATTGTGCATCCCCTTGTCCTCCACGACCCCCAGGATCACCTTGGATATGCTGGGCTTCCGGTGGGCTTTGGGGCTGGTGCAGTGCCCATTCTCGCTCTTGCTGGGGGTCCCAGATACGCTGGCCTGCCGGCTCGCACCCTGCACAGTGTTGGAGACCACAGGTGCAGATGGGGGTGGTACCAAAGTGTCTTTCTGCATCTCTCCCTGGGGCGGGTGGAGGGAACTAGGCGCAGGGACCTCCAGGGTGGCGGCTGGAAGTCTCTACTGGGTGGCTCTTCGTGGATGAGGCAAGTCTCTGTTCCTGGTTCCCTCGGAGCCTTCCCCTGGGTGGCCAGAGGAGGACCAGGGATGATTACCCTCAGCTGGCCTCAGCAGACTTGTGTCTCAGGTGCAGGGGGTGGCAAGATTATCTCTGCAGTGACCTCAGGGGGACATTGTGAGGCCACTAGAATCCTGCGAGGGTCACAGTGGTCCCATTGTTCCCATCTGGGAGGTGTGCACGGGAGTTGCCAGATAGTGTGGGCATCTGACAAGTCAGGTGCCCCAGGAAGAAGGGCTGAGGCTGTGTGGGTGGATGGGTGGACCCCACATGGCGTGTTGATGCAGGCGCATGTGTGTTTAGAAATGTATTCATTGGCTGATTTCAGGGTATTCTGAGACCCCAGGGTTGGTTGTGGTTTTTTGTTTTTTTTAGATTTTATTGATTTATTTATTTGAGAGAGAGATAGAGAGCTGGGTGGGGGAGCAGACAAGCTGACTCTGCACTGAGCGCAGAGCCTGACACAGGGCTCCATCTCAGGACCCCGAGATCATGACCTGAGCTGAAATCAAGAGTCGAGCACTTAACTGACTGAGCCCCCAGCCACCCTCCTGAGACCCTCCATTTTAAACCTGCCATCTCAACCCACTGGGTTGAAGAATACAAACATTTGTAGAATCAGATTTATACCAACATTTATGAATTTTTTACAGGGATAACATTTTCCAGAGTGAACAAAAATGTAATTCCTTGATCTCCCTAGGTCAATTTGATTCCTTGGTCACTTTTGATCACAAAGCAGTGGAAAGGCTCTGCTTTGGTTTTTTTTTTTTTTTTTAATTAATGTAGTCACAGAGAGAGAGAGAGAGAGAGAGAGAGAGAGAGGCAGAGACACAGGCAGAGGGAGAAGCAGGCTCCATGCACCGGGAGCCCGACGTGGGATTCGATCCCGGGTCTCCAGGATCGCGCCCTGGGCCAAAGGCAGGCGCCAAACCACTGCACCACCCAGGGATCCCGGTTGTTTTTTGTTTGTTTGTTTGTTTTTCATTTTTATTTGATAGAACTTTTTCCCATTGGGATGAGTGATTTTCCATGTAAGTTTTTCAAGGAACATTTTATTCCTCAATTTTTTTGGTCTATGCCAAATTTGATCAATTACATCTTCTGCCATTGTGGAAATTCTCTTCTGAGCAGTTATTTCCATCATGGCCAGCTTTCCTGGCTTGGTTTGGCAGCTCTGAAGCTATCAGGAAAATCTGCTTCCTCCGTCAATGTTGAACCAATAACCAGGTTTACCATGTGCCACATTAGCCCTTGATGGTTTGGATTTTGTGTTGATTTATTTCTACAAATTCAATTTTTTTTTTCCTTGTTCAGTGTCTGCTGTTTTCCAAATTATCCACAAATTGTGATTCTATTGCCTGTATCAGAGCGTGCTGGTCAGAAAGTCCTCCAGCCTGACCCTCTTCTGTGGTCTATGTGTCAGAGACAGGGCTCGACGGGTGTGTGTTGGTGGTGGGGAGAGTGTGCGTGCATGCATGTGTGTGTGTGTGTGTGTGTGTGTGTGTGTATAGGAATGCCTGCCTATTCATTCTCAGCTGCCCAAGTGCTGATGTGGAAGGCAACAGTGGGTCTGGCTTCTGCTCCTGTTCTGGAAAAATGTCCCGGGAACATTTTCCACCTGTGTGTGTTGCCAGAGTAATGAGATCCAGATGCAGGGCTGGGGGCAAGGGGTGGTGGTGAGGGGGGGCATTAACTAAGGCCCTTCCCCTGCCAGGGCATTACCTGTCTGGCTGCCTCTAGTCCTAAGCATCCATATGCTGCTTGCTTCCTTTCTCTCTCAGCCTCCCCTTGCCTGGGAATGGAAAATTGTGTTTTGGACAACTGTGCTTGCCAAATTCCAGACTCAAGAGCTCATCTTGATCCTCCCCTGGCCTTAGAGGGTGACTCCACCTCCTCCCGCCAACCAGACAGGACTTGGTCCTACTCCCCCCAGGAGGAATGTGGCCCATTCAGCATGAAGCTAGCCAGTCTGACCTGTAGTCTAATCTCTTGGGCTCTAGCTGCTATTGGTGTCTACAGAGACTTGGACTGGGGTGGGGATCATGGCCCCTTCCCCATTTGATCAGTAACCCAGAGGCAAGTGGGGTAGCTTCCACCCTGCCTGGGGCCCCTTTAAGGAAACTAATTTATATATATATATATGCAGGAAAGAGCACAAGCAGGGGGAGGGGCGGAGGGAGAGGGATAAGCAGGCTCCCCACGGAGCAGGGAGCCCAATGATATGGGGCTCTGGGGCTCCATCCCAGGACCCTGAGATCATGATCTAAACCAAAGGCAGACACTTAACTGATTGAGCCATCTAGGCATCCCTCTTTTTTTTTTTTTTTTTTTTAAGATTTTATTTGTTTTGAGAGTTGGGCGGGCAGAGGGAAAGAAGAGGGAGAGAAGCAGACTCCTGGCCGAGCAGGAGCCTGACTTGGGCTCAATCTCAAGACCCTGAGATAATGATCTGACCCAAAATCAAGATTGGGATGCTCTACTGACTGAACCACCCAGGTGCCCCAAGGAAAACTAATTCTTATTGTTTGTAATGAAGAGTCCCTGCTATCTCTCACCTGGCAACCAGGTAATCTAGGAAAATATCTCCAGGCTGGACCCACAAATGTGGGTGGATTCATGTAAAGGGGCTTGGAAACATCCCTTTACTAGAGGTCAAGCACATCAGTGGGCCTACTATAATAAAATAACGCTGATGATGATTATAGCAACGTTGGCCTTCCTATAATATTAGCTACCACTTGCTATGATGCTGACCAGGAGTGTTTTTTCCTGTATTAACTCATTTAATATGTACAAAAACTGCATTACGATGGAGGAAATAGTGGCACAGAGAAGTTAAGTGACTTGCATAAGATCACACAGCCAGTAAGTAGCAGGACTCACATTTATATTCAAAGCAAGTCCTGATGTTGGGTTACACCGTGCTACCCTACTTCTCAGAATGAACAGAAGCTTGCCCCAGGCAGCAGAAGGCAAGCTAGTCAGGATCTCAAATGAGAATGAGGCTGAGCTTTCTGAGAAGACAGAAGCAAGTCTCCTTTCTGACATGAGAGCTCAGAAAGGGCTTTCTGACGGCCACAGGGATTTCAGGCCCACTGAGGGCAGATGTTGGGGTCGGCCTCATGGAGTTTTGATCTGGAATAAAGCCAGAGAGCAAAGACTTGGTGTCCAGAGCTAGTCAGTGGTGGGGGGCAGGCTGGGGAGGGGTGGGAGAGGTCCGGGTACAAAGGCCAGGGAGGCTAGATGGGAGGAGCCAGAAGATGAGACCATGGAAGCCTGGCAGGAAACAACCCCAGAGCCAGAGGAGGAGGTGGGAAGAGATGGAGGGGGAAGTTTGCCAGACTAAGAGGGATGAGGCAGGGAAGACTGGATGGTCAATGGTAGGAGCGAGTATTTGGGGAGGGAGCTGAATGCTGGAAGGGACCGGGGAAGGTGATCGGAATATAAACCCCAGCAAACGCCGGCCTCTGGAAATACCAATCCACTGCGGGTACCTATTCATGGCTGGCACCTCAGGAGTTCTTAGCAGGCATCAGGCACTTCTCTAAACATTTTTCTCATTTAATTCCCACCACAGTGCTAGGAGGCAGATTCTAGCATTATGTCCATCTTACAGTTGAGGACACTGAGGCACAGAGTGGTTCAGCAACTTGCCAGGGACACACAGCTTGGAATCCAGGCTGGCTGTGCCCACAGCCTATGCCTCCTCACTGGACACTGAGCTGGCACCAAAGACCTTCCTTGTTTGTCTTCCCCTCATCCGTCATGTGTGTGAGTTTCCCCTACATACCAGGTGGGGAGGGACTGCAGGGTGGCTCAGAGGCAGTGCCGCGCCGAGCCTCAGCGGAGTTGGCTCCCGGGACTGACGACTGTGCCGGCCCTTGCCCCCAGCATCCAGATGGTCCACCACTGCACTATCCGCGGGAACACAGAGGAGCTGCGGCAGATGGCATCCAGCCGCGAGGTGCCCCGGCCCCTCTCCACGCTGCCTATGTTCAACGTGCGCACGGGCGAGCGGCTGCCTCCGCGAGTGGACAGCGCCCAGGTGCCCCTCATCCTGGACCAGCACTGAGGGGACATGCAGGTGGGTCTGGCAGAGTGGTGTCAGCCTCATATCTGGGAACAGCGTGGCTCCTGTCTGGGGGCTGGGGCCGATGGTGGGGAAGGGGAGGTCAAAGAGAGGGGTCAGCAGACCTTCCTGCTCCTCTGAGGCAGCCGTGAGGGTTGTTCTGCAGGGCCAGGGCTATGTCCCCGCCCCCCATGTCAAATGGTCGAAGGGCTGGGGTGGGGAGGAGGCAGGAGGACCAAGGCCTGGGCATCACAGCCCCTCACCCCCTCCCTCTGCTGTTCCAGTTCCAGCCCCAGCCTCCTCTGCCTCTCTCCCCGCCTCCCACAGAGCAGCTCACCCACAGCCACATCCTTCCTCAGGATTCTGGCTCCTGGCCTGATGGCCCCCAGGCTTGGAACAAGCAGAGAGATGGTGGCATGGGAAGGTGAGGGGGTTGAGGGTCAAGACCCCTGGAATAAAGAGCTGCAGCTCTGCACACCTGTTGTTACCGGCGCCTTCTTCTCAGCAGCCTCTGACTGGCACTTGCTGCCTCAGGTTCCCTTTCTGCCTTCTGGGAGCCCTCAGAGTCAGCCAGGGGCTACCAGCCTGCCCTTTGGACTCTGGGCATTTTGCTGTTTTCTCAACCTCTCTGGAAGAAAGAGGGAAGGACCTGCTATCTGTGGCCCTGGTCTTATTCCTCCAACAGAACCTGACAGTGAGGGATTACTGGTCATCATTCCCATTTTATAGAGGAGGAGACCGAGGCCCAGGGAGAGTAAGCAACTTAGCTAAGGTCACAGAGCAAGCAAGTGGCAGAGTTTGGCTCAGAACCTGGTGTGCCCACCTCCATGCTGCCTTCTGGAGGGCTGAAGGATTCTGGAAGCAATAGGTCCAGGCTCTTACTTAACTAGATCCTGGAGGGGAAGGAGCCCCTTTGTAACTCATGCTATGAGGGGTCCAGTCTGTACATGGAGAGAGGGGTCAGGATAAGCGACCCTGAATGCCTGGGCTCAATGACCCCTTATTGGTGGGCCTCTCCAGGGGCCGGGCAGAGGTCAGAGGACACCGCATGACCTGGAACTTTTGTTGAGCTGAGTGTCACCAGCTTGGCCCTGGAGAGCTCCGCTGACTAGGAAGAGGCCCTGGCTTGTTTCTCCCAGGTGGTTATATCTGCACCAGACCAGTTGGGCCCCTGCCCACTGACATTCTGAGCCACACCCAGTCTCACATCTGACCACTCCCTTGGGAGGACAAGCCAGATTTAGGCCCAAGAAGGGACCCAGAAAAAGGAGGCATAGCAGAGGAACAAGGATTTAGGGTCTAAGTCTCAGGCCCCTGGATCTGGGGGGCAACTCCAAGAAAATCCAAACCAGGACAAGACAACTTTATGGTGATCTCGAAATCTCTTTTAGAGTTCAACCCACCTGGCCTGGGATCCACCCACTGTCCTGGAGCTGACTCTCAACTATCCCTCTCCTTCCCCCAAGGGGGTGGTAGAGATGGGCAGCTGCATGTGGAATTTTTCCTTACCTGGAGATAGGGGCCCAGGCTTGGGGCTGATGGAGAAGGCAGCCCCCAGTCTTAAGGAGGGGTGCCTCCTGGGCCAAGGACCCTTGAGGACGGCTAAGTTTCTGAATATCACATCCGGGTGTTCAGAAATGTACAGGCAAGGGGGTGGTGAGCGTCCCCTCAGACCCCTCCCCTTTCTTTCATTCCCCGGAATCCCCACCTTCACGTGTGTCCTGAATCCATCCACTTCTCATGGCTTCCACTGTCGTCTTCCCGGTGCAGCTCCAGGATCTGGCTCCTGGGCCCCTGCAACAGCACCCTTGCCTTCCTGCCCCTCCAGTCTCAGCTCCAGCAGGAGCCAGGCCCATCCTTTGAGAAGAAAGATCAGGACATCTCACCCCCCACCCCTGCAGCTTTTAACTCTCCAACACCTTCTGGTCACACTGAGAGTAAGACCCACACACATGACCCAGGCCTGCTGGCCCTGCCCAGCCCTCTGACCTCATTCCTACTCTTCACACGCCCACTGCAGCCACACTGCCTCGTTAACACGCGCCTGCTTCCGGGGCCTTTGCCCATGCTGTTCTCTCTGCCGGGATCCCCCTGCCCCCTCCACACCCCACCCACACAACTCCCCCCATCGCAGTTGTCCTGGTCTTTGCCCAAATGGTAGCTCCTCAGAGAGCCCCCTCCAGCTCTCCTGTTTCCAGAGCACTGTGTACCCTCCCTGTGCCTTGTTCTAGGCTGGCTTCTTACCCTAGATATAAGCTCCACCTCCAGATATAAAATCCAGGAGGGCAGGATTCTGTGCCCCCACTGTGGATGGGGGCACTGGGGTGCCTGCACATAGCAGGTGCTCAGGAAAGATGTTTGGAGGGGGTACTCCGGTCTGGGTGTGCTCAGAGCTCTTAAGAAAGTTGTTCCTCCTTTCTGGGCAAAGAAGATGCCCAAGGCCATCGCTAGCACTTTTAACATTATGTTCCTGTCACCCTGCCTGCTGGGCATCCCACACCTGTTAGTTAGTTAGTTAGTTAGTTAGTTAGTTAGTTAGTTAGTTAGTTGTTAGTTATCCCATAAGCATTTGTGGAGGCAGGCACTTGGGAGGTGCTCAGTAAATGTTTTTGACTGAGTGCCTGTTGGGGTGGCCACCCCCTAACCACACGTGTCCTCTGACAAGACAGTGCCTCTGTCTCTTCATTTCCTCCTTTGCCTTGAGGCCCCTCATCTGGCCGAAACTTGGAGCTGCACAGAATGTGCTCAGGCCAGAGGCTCTAGACTGCCAGGCTGCTCTCCCGGGGTGCTCTTCCCCGATCGCTGCCCCCTTGAGGCAGGGGCTGCCCTCATCTGGTCTCTGCCCTCCTGCCCAGGTAGCCAGGGCTGGGAGAGTTCCTCAGCCAGCCCCTTGCTTCCCTCTGCTGCCTGGCTTTGCCTTGACATCTTGGCTCCGAGGAGCACACGGGAGCCTGGCTGCTGGCCTGGGAGGAAGCAGCCCAGACAAGTAGCTGGGAGGATGGCGTGACTGCAGAGGACACTGAGCCGTGCCCAGGCACACGCACGCGCACACCCAGGCGCCCCTGGCAGAGCGTGGCAAAGGCACTGCTGGACTCAGCACCTCTCCTCTCGCTGAGGGATGAGGCTCCAGAGCAGTCACCCCCCACAGTCTATAGCCAAGGAAAAATAGCCACAGTGTCCCCTGCCCCACCGAGATTCAGCTACATGCCCTGCTCCACCCTTGGCTCCTCCAGTCCCACAGCAAGCGCTACCCTGCAATCTAGTGTGAGGGGGCCCCCACCTTCACCCTAAACAGAGCCCCATGGTGGCCTGACCCTAGACGTTCCCTCAACATCTCAGTCTGGGAGGAGGATCCATGCCTGAGTGAGAACACAGGGCCCTGCCCCATGGGGCCTGTGTCTCCCTGGCTCTTTACACACGCACACACACACACACACACACACACAGCATTTATAGGGTGTGTTTGTTGGGATTTGGGCTCAGAGTGAGCAGGACTCAAATCATGGCTCTGACAGTTCGTTTACTCATAAGACGTTAATCATAACTGCCTGGGGGCTGTTGGGAGGATTTGTGAGCCCCAGACGAGTACCTGGCATCTGGCAGCTCCTGAGAAAGGAGACATTATTACATAGGAACTCTTGAGTGACCACTCCCAAGCCAGAGGCCCATGGGGTCCCCCTGCCCACTAAGATCCAGATTAAGTGAGCTCCATTTACATTCTGTGCCCTGTGAAGTCTTCATGCTCTCCCTGTAAGTTTGGGGTGGAGGCTGAAATTTCCATGTTTCCTGGCACTGGTCTGCTGGCCAGTGAAATGAAATTTTGGGATATGTGGGTTAAATAAAATATGTTATTACAATTAACCTCGCCTGTTTCTTTTTTGTTGTCTTAATATGGCTGTTAGAAAATGAAAAATCACGTCCGTGGCTCACATACTATCTTTACTGCGCAGCGCCCATTTCACAGCTCTTCCTTTATCTCCACTCCAGATCAACCCAAACCCAGAACTCGGCCTCTTTCCTCACTTTCTCCAGAACCACCTGCTGGTACCAGACCTCTATGCATGCATGAGTTTTCTAAAGCCTTGAGGAGTTGCAGGGGGTGGGAGATGGTGCCACAACAGTGAAGACACTTAGAACTTGAATGTGTGGTCTTCTGGTTCTAAAATGTGCTTTAGTCCCCATCCCACCCCATCCTCCTTTTCCTCCCACTGCCTTATGCAGAGAAAACCTCACTCTCCCCCGCCTGCACACACCAAACTCACCTCCCTCTGGGCCTTGCTGTGCACGTGCTCTGCAAAGGCGTTGAAATCTCTGTGTGCAGAAGGGTCTGATTACCCTGCTAGATCAGGGCCATCTTTCTTCCTGGGTCTTGCCGCGCAATCCGTGGACATCTCTCTGCTCTACTTGGTACCCTCTGGAGCACATACCAGGAAGAGGACAGAGACAGTGCTCATCCTTGAGAGGGCTCCACTGGCCCTGGCACTTTAGGGTGGTGGTCCCCCATACCCACCCACTCCTGATTTTTCCTCAACTCCTCCCTGTTCAGCTGCCCCCACCCATCTGCAGGCCCTCCTATGTCCTCTGTCACACCTATGCCCACACACGTCCCTACTGCTAGACCCTTACCTTCTCAGTTCACAGAGCATCTCCTCTGCTGCTATATGTGTGTGGAAGCGGTCCTCATATATGCAGACCCCCCCACTCACCCATCCCCAACACACCTGTACACGTGTGGGGCCCCTCTGACCACGACACACTTGTTTATGGGGCAGCAGAGAGTGAGACACATTCTCATGCACACAGGGATGTCTGGGTGGCATCCACCTCACCCATTCATACAGTCTCCCACACTCACAGTCCCCAAGCAGCTTTCCACTGTGGGTCCTGGTTTTGAGCACAGCCCCACACTAACTCTCCTATTCTGCACACAACCCCACAGACCCCCGCCGTTGCCTGAGGCTCCTATACTCCAGCTCGGCGGCTGCCCCCAACCTCTCCCCTCCCCAACCTCACCCATATCCATCCAGGAAAGTCTTGAAGGCTCTGGGGCAGCGGAGGGTGAAGAACTGACCCAAAAAAAGGAGGATGCCATATTTCAGTCATAAAAAAATCCTGCCAGGAAATGGACTCATACCACAGAAGGGACTCGGGATTCTGAGAAAGCGGCAAAAATAAAAAATCCAGATGAAACCTCCTTCCTTTCTAGAATTTTCCATCTGAAGTTGCCTGAGAAATCAGCCCTAGGAATGTGGCCCATCTCCTCAGAAAGGAGACAGAGGTGAGTCCCGGGGAGCAGCAGTGGAACAGCCGGCGCCATGCACCATGCAGGGGGCAGCCAGGGCCTGGGGGAGCGGGTCTGGGCAGCTCTATTTAGGGCAGTGGTGATGTCAGCAGAGAGGAGGGCTTGAGTTGGGAATGTGGTACAATGGCCCCTTTGTCCCCCTCCCCTCCTGTCCTGCACACACACTGAAACCA